AAGCTTTGTGAGTCAACTTTGCTTCCATTTGTACTCACTATCCCGGTTTGGTAACAACTTAATTGGAACTATACAGTTTTAAATCATGACTTTTTAATTTGTATATTCTAAACGATGTGGTCTTAGGAGTGTTTTTTAATGGCTTTACAGTATTGTATTTTAAGGATTGATTTTATATGTCTTTAATTGTATTTTGTATTTTAATGTGTTGTACCCTACCTCGAGTCTTCAGGAGAGGCAGGAAATAAGTTGTTGTTATTGTTGTAGTTGTTTTCAGTTGAGGATGGAAAAACTTCTCAGACATACTACCTGGCATTCAGGCCCATTATTTTCATGTCAGTGACAGAATATTGATACTAAAGATTGAATAGAGGTGCTCCTTCAGCATAAAGTGACAGCACTATCTTATTCTACTAGCACCATTTGGGGAGCAAACAGACATATCCATTCCAATGGACACAACTAGATCTCTAGCAACCATTCTGAGCTGAGTTTGTAAAACAGAATATGTTACATTATTGGCTCAGAAAGTCAAATTCTGATTTTTTTAAAGAAAGGGTTTTTAAGAGGGCCAGGTATTCCTTTAAACTGTGCTATTTTAACTGCTTTTTCATTATTTAAGTATTGTCGCCCCTCCATTCCTGTGGACTTGAGGCCCGCGTTTTTGAATATTCACAGAGGGGGCAACCTCTGTTAAAATCAATGGGGTGTCCCCCCACGGAGAGCATGGCCCATTCAAGCCTATGGGGCTTGAATATCAGCAAGTCTCTGTTTTCGGGTGTGTGTGTCTGGAATGGATCCCCCATGAAAATGGAGGGCTGACTATATGTTTTACTATTGTTAATATGCTCAGCCTTCCACATCTGCAGCTTTGACACTCACAGTTTTGATTATTCTTGAGTTCAAGGCTAATGTGTGCATGCACTCCTCCTCCTCCTTTCTCTCAGGCTTTTCCTGATCTGCCCAGGAAATGGGAAGGGATGGATCAATCCCTCCCAGCCCCTTTCCTGTGCAGATGGCAGCTTGCCTTGGCAAGGTGTGGGTGGGAATTATTCGCAATTTTTCCATATTAGTGGGGGTCATGTACCCCTAACCCCCATGAACGTGGAGGGCCGAGTGTACTTTAATTTTATGTTAAAGTTTAATTTTTGTATATTTTTAACTATGTTTTAATCATTTTTATTTGTAAGCTGCCTTATCATCATTGGGGAAAAGGAAGAGGAGGAGGAGCAGCAGTAGCAACAGCATGTCACCGTAGGGTAGGTAAAGCACATCAAACATCCCTATGTAACGCATAGGAATCCCTTTTATGGAATACTTAATGGAATGGGTGTTAGTGTTCATTGTTGGCCTTGACCTATCTGCTTTTAATGGACTATAATCTGCCTGGAATATTCAGAAAACAGTAGACTACATGCAGTAGACATTAATAAAACAATCTGAAGGCAGAACTGTAGGGGAAAGTTCAAATGGAACTCTTTGGCAATGACAGAAATATAAATGCAACTAGAGGAGTTGCTGAAATGCTGTGCAGTTCCTCTTGGCCATAAAAATGGTATATCAGTTTCCTTTGTTCCCCCTTGCATCTGTCCTAACAAACTGACCTTTAACTTGAAAACGGTCAGATATAGGAACCAGTACAAAGAAGGCGTATCAACTCTAGGCACAGACTCTCTTCCTTCATATAACAAACATTTAGGGATTGTTATTTTAGGATAAAAATGAACTCAACACACAATGCCCAAAGAAACATTTACTGTAAAAATATTTCACAGAGCTCATCCTTCTTCTAGACTATGTAAAACAGATGAATTATTTTTTTTAAAAGTCATGCTGGAGAATTCTATAATACCATCCATAAAACAGAAACATCACTTTTAGCTGTCGATAATCTAAGGAGAAAAATATGTAAAATCATAGCATGGAAATAATGTCCAGGTCTCTTCCAAATATGATTTACTTTCTCAAAAATATTTAGGTATTAGGTCAATGTTCCAGCTGTGTGAACAGGAATTTCTATTACTTATAATGAATCTCTTGAATTTTGACATTTATTGACCTGTTCTTCTGGAAAAGGACAGATGGGGAAGGGTAATTATGATGGCTAGAAACTATGAATTCCAGTAGCCCTTGGGAAGCTGTAGAAGATCTGGTCTGCTTGCATGGAAGACTGAAAGATCCTTCTGTGCTTTGCCAGACAACAGTTCCTTGATTTTGTTTACATATATGGAGAAAAGAAAAATATGAAATCTGCAAAAGAGACCTATGATGAATGGTGGGAGGAAAATAGCTTAAAGCCATTCTTTTCATACAAGCAACTTAAGTACTTTGAAGTAACACCCTCCAAGTGCTCTATTAATTTGTAACTCCATGCATAATATAATATTTCTGATTTCAATGTACGAGGGCCGATGCAGACCGGCACAAAGGGCTGGCCTGGCAGTGGAGTTGGGGTGGGGCCACTGCGTGCCAACTGCTCTGACTCCACCCTGACGCCGTCCTGAAGCCTCATGCCCGTCCGCACTGTGCATGGTATCAGGACACCCTCCTGGTGCAGCATGCGCACATGCTACACCAAAAGGGTGCAAAAGAGCCACGGTGCCAGCTCTAAGGGCGGCCTTTTGCCGCTCCCAAAAGGAGTAGCATTTTACCACTCTTTGGGGGGCGGCAAAAAGGAGGATTGGGGCTGTGGCATGTGATTGCTGGGGCCCCGATCCGCCATTTCCATGGGTGGTTCTGTGCACCCCTTTTGGGCTGTCTGCATCGGCCCTGAGTGTAAAAGCTAGTATGTGAAAAAAATCAGACAGGAAGAAAATCAACACATTTGAAATGTGGCGCTGGAGGACAGTTCTTCAGATATGGTAGACTGCTAAAAAGCCAAAAGAATAGGGACCTAGAGCAAATCAGGCCTGAACTCTTACTAGAAGCCAAAATGTTTAAACTAAGGCTATTGTACTTTGAACATATTATGAGATGACGTGACTCACTTGAAAAGATTATAATACTTGACAAAGAGCAAGACAGTAGAAAAAGAGGAAGACCACATTGCAGGTGGATTGGTTCAATTAAGGAAGGCATGGTTCTGTCTGGATCTAAGCAGGATTGTTGATGACTAGATCTCTTAGAAGTCTCTAATTCATATGGTTGCTATAAGTCAAAGTCAACTTGATGGCAAATAACAACATTTGTAGTTGAGAAATAGCAAATGTGTTCAATACAAAACCTTCCTGTCAAGTGCATGCTTAATATCATTTCTGGACAGATTTTGGTTTGCAGGACCTACTTTATGTTGCGGTTGAGCAAGTGCAGCCAACTGCAAAAGAGTGGCTCAGGAAGGAGAACATAGAACTGTGGAACAAGGTACCTCTGAGCTCATGTTCAGGCTGAGAGCTAGTTTTTAGTACTAGAACCATATGCAAATCTATTCCAGTTCTTCCCCACACCCCAGTATTCTTGCTTGCAGCAGCCTCATCTAAGATGGAGAAGCAGGCTTTTTAATCATGTCTATGGTTAAAACTATAGGGAGTTGGAAATCCTTACTGATCCTCTAGATCCCATGCTATATTCTGCTTGCCCAGGCTTTATTTTACTAAAAGGCATGTTAGTGCAGCACACACGAGTAAAGCTGCCACTTTCACCCATAACCAACATATTTTATTTATTATTTGGAAAAGCACGCATATGTTATTCTCACTGAGACATAACCAGCAGGCTTCATTTTATGCTTCATTTGTGACACTATTTGTTTTATTGAAGCCCAGATTCAAACATGAAGGACCTTCTATCCCATTTACCCTGGCTGCATGCCCGGTCTTAACTTCTCTTCCCCCCCCCTTTTTTTTTAACATGCTACTGTTTAAATGTAAACAAGGAACTCTTTGGTATAAGCCACGTGGAAGCCCAAAAGAATCATGCATCCCTTTAAGTCTAGGTTGACATCACTTAATTGCCAAATCTGCATTCCTTATGCAAGATGACCTGCTGAGTTACAAAAGCCTTGTGAGAAACTGAAGCCTTGCAGGCCATTTATACCTACTGAGATTCCACCCCACTGTTTGTCTTCTTGTCAAAGAGTATCACCCTTTGCAATTTTAGGGTAGATTTCAAAATAAGTCATTAGTTTTACTGAACTTTTTTTTATTGAACTTCTGATATGCACCCAGTGGCCCCAATCCAGGCCTCTAGCTGCACTCTTAATATGTAATGTACTGTGGGTGGGATTCCTTCACATGCATAGAGATTTAGAAATGAACAGGACCATCATTGATGTCCAAGGGATTTAATATGCATATTAGAGGTCCTGAGCCTCCAAGGAATCCATCATTGGAAAATGAGCTCCAAATTTGCAAGGCAACCAGGGCCATTGGGGCAGGAATGAACTAAATTAATAGAATCATAGGGTTGGAAGAGACCTTAAGGGTCATCAAGTCCAACCCCCTGCCATGCAGGAAGACATAATCAAAGCACCCCCAACAGATTTCCATCCAAAAATCTCTAAAGAAGAAGACTGTGCCATTCTCCAAGGGAGCATGTTATATTGGGATGACGAGTAAGACATCTTTATTTTTGAAATGTACAAAGTCTGCCTTCATTCTAGAAAGGGATTTTGCATCATAGAAAGAGTACAACACAGTACAAATAATATAAAATCTAAATATTTTAAGTAAAATTGAGAAGCATGAAACCTCTTTGAACAATGAGCTTCAAGTATAGTTTTACAAGTATAGTGTCTTCCGGTAAACTTGACTTCATATATTGCTAGGCTTGTTTCAAATAAATGTGGTACTCAAGTCACTGAAAATCATAGTCAAGGGAGGTTAATATCAGAGAAGGGTATCACACTGTTGTTGCATGCCATCAAGTCATTTTTGACTTATAGTGACTCTAAGGTGAACCTACCAGGACTATTTTTGGCAAGATTTGTTCAAAGGAGAGTTGCCTTTGCTTTCTTCTAAGGTTGAGAGTGTGTGACTTGTCCAAGATCACCCCTTGTGTTTCTATGTCCAAGCAGGATTCAAACCCTGGTCTCCAGAGTCATAGGCTAATGATGAAACCACTACACCACACTGACTTTCACTCCTAATTTTAAGTTCTAGCTCTTGTAAAGAGAGTATCACACTCCAAAGATTCTAAGCAAGAAGAACTCTGCCACAAGAAGAGCTACATATCTAGCCTCAGAGATGGGAACATTTCTTATACTCCCAATATAGATCCAGTGTAGCCATGCTCACACAGCAGTTCAAGGTGATGGCTGCTATACTATGAGAGAGAGAGAAAATACCTTTGTGAATAGCAAGAGAAGCAAAAGTCAAAACATGAAGAATGAATGAATCATAATAGAACAGGTTGGACAAACTGTAGCTGGGCTGGTGTGGCCACTTTCTGAATTTGACAAGTCCATAAATGCTCCAACTTCATTTCATTTGTTGGTTTTCTTTGTTTTAATCCTTTTTAAAAGCTTATATCTTTGTTGTTAAATATAGAAAATGCATTTCTATGCACTCTTCCTAGGTGGGGTAGGTATATATCATTCTGAAACTAATTTAAATCATTCCTACAAGAAATTACTGATTTGTTGTGTATACATCCTACTGAATAGGAATGGACCTTATCTCTGACAAGAAAAATATGGGTATTACTGTCAAAAGCAGTCCCACTAAATCAATGGAATTTACATCAACATTGATCTGTCAAATTCCTATTAATTCAATTGTTCTGCGGCAGTTGAAACTAACAATTAGAGTCAAGATAAAAAGAAAGCTTTTATTGTGACTATAATAAAGCCAGGAACACAAATGAGTGTTGAAGGTGAGGGACACAAGCTTTATAAGTCTATAAAGACTCAATAATTGAATACCTTTCCATGGTAAAAACTAGGAGCACTCCACTCCAGATACGATGAGAGGGCTTCATGTACAAGTCCTACACACATTATATGAAGTGCATGGTGGAGGAACTAGGAGATGCTCAGTTTTTCAGAAGGGGGAAATGGCCAGACATATTTCTCAGAAGCAAGTTTATGAATAATTACAGTAATCCCTACATTAGTACTTCAGATTGGCTTTCAAACACAGAACATTTATTTTAAGATTAAAAGTATACACTTCAAGACATCTATGTTTATTTGAAACATTCATGAAATCTTTCATAATGCTTTAGTCTTACATCCACATCAACAAAATCCATACGCTGACCATTCCTAACTAAATTATTCCTAGCTACAATTACTTACTTGTCTGCATGGGTGGTAAAACCTTTAACAGAGCCTCTGTTTAAAAAGTAAAGTTATGGGGGGCAGGAATTATGGTGCTTATGCTCAAGTATACAGTCATTTGTAATTTGAAAATGAAAGAACCACAAAACAAAGTACAAATAAAAGGGAGAAAAATAGTATTAAATTAGTTGAGTAATCCTAAATATGAAAAAGCCTTTTGCATATGCAACATTCACCTTTTTCCTTCCTTTGCAGCACAATCAAATGAAATGCACAAGTTTCCAATTAACCAAAGTCTCCCATTTCACCTGAACCAAGAAACTATGTTTACTAGTACTGGTGCAAGCCAGAATCTTGGGCCATGATATTCAGTTTGGTATGATATTCAGACATGCCTCAAAACAAAAGGGAAAGGGCTGCATGTGGGAGCAAATGGTTCATTCCTATCTTCACTTACAAAAATCAAGATTGCTTGAACTCAGCCACAGTGCCTTGACAGGCCCAGCATGCAAGGTGGTTAAAGCCTTCATTATTTAGTTAAAAGAATTTAAGAAATCTACTACCCCTTGGAGGTGTACAAAAAGCTTAACATTGCTTCTTTCCTCCCCTAGTTCAATAAAACTCCTACTCACTTTAGCGTCTCATAGGGAGTCCTCACACCTCATTGCTATATCACAACCATCCACAAACGCCACCCTGCTCAAGTGCCCGGGCTTTTATACACACCAAGGGTACAGCAGCCTCTTTTAAACCAATTAAAATAAAACAACCTTACTTAAGGTAGGGGATTCTTAAAAGGCCAACCACAAGTCTCGGCTTAAGCCTTACAGCATTCTATAGACCATCTTTTCAAAAAGCTGGAAGAGGATGCCTATATACACCTACCAAAAGAAAATATGCAGCAGGATACAGTACAGCACATACAAGGAGGGTGAGCAAAATAAAAGGAAGTCAAGATGCCTGCTTACATGACTACAGCAGATCACAGGGTTTCAACTAATCTTGCATATAAGGCTTTCATGAACTTTCATGGGAGCATGAGGTCAGTCAGGCCCTTGGTCCCTCTATCCCACTACTGCCTATTCTAGCTAAGGTGTCAGGGCTTTCACAGGCTTCATAATGGAATTCCTTTTAGCTATAAAAGGCAAGGATTGAACCTGAAACTTTGTACATACAATGCTACCTACCCAAGGAAATGGGAAAAGATGTTTTTTTTTTCTTTTTTGACTGCAACACCATTCTCTGCATACTCCTATCCCAATCCTCCATGTATCCATGTCCCAATAGTGTCAGACAAAGAAGTCAAAACAGGGCCATACAAGCAGAGATTAAGGAGAAAGAAAGAAAAGATCCGGGAGAGAAGACTTGCAAAGATATAGTAAAAAACAAAACACCCCCCCCCCCCGAATTTCAAGTCATTGAGGACCCAGGTAGAATGTGTGGATACACAATAAGACTACCGTAACTTGCCATGCAGGTATTTATCTACTGTTGTACATGGCTAAAATGGGGACAGAAATACAGGTACCAATATAATCTCCTCTCCCCTGACTGACTCTGCATACCCAGCATTTCCTGACTACCGTGTGCTGAATATCTTGGCCTGTGTCATGCCCTCCAATCATGTTGCATTGAACATTGTTGCAAAACTCTTGGGTTCATGAGCCCTTGTACTCAACATACTAGTTTGAGAGCCCCATTCTGATTTTCACATTGAAAATGTAAAGGTCTGAAATGCTGTGGAACACAAGGAGCCACTTAACGGGAATGGTTCACATGCACACCCTCATCCCAATGCATTTAGCTGCACCAACAACTAGTCAAATAGAGGCATAAGATTCATTTCTTAGACTATTGTACATGCATACTTGGTGTGCCTGAATAAGGGGGGGGGGGGGTGTCTAGGCATCAAGAGAGGTTCTGACCCAGTGTAGATATCATGTCCAAACCATGTTTTTGCTATCTTGATTAGGCAAATGGCTAGCCTTGCTATGAGGTAAAGAGTGGGACATCCCTCAGGTGACAGATGTTGAGGAAGAGAATAAGATCTGAAAGACCAACACTATGTGTGCCAAGCATTCTCCCACAAGTCCCTAAGGACCTTATCACACGGGGCTCAATGCAGACAGAATCCAAACGAAATCCCGACCTAATACGTATTATTTTTCCGTGCGTCCACACGACGTCGCACAGAACCCTGACAGAACCCCGGCAGAATGTGCGAAGAACCGAGATCTTTTGTATTTCGGTTTCTTGAGGAATTGCAAT